GGAGCTTGAAGCACTCTTGCTTTGTTTCTTTCTGGGCATGCTGGTGATTAAATTGCTAGCAGATGTATGGAGCATTGCTGATGCTACTGTGACTGCAGTGCTGGCAATGGCAGAAATATCAGCAGTTGTTGGAACAGCTTGGGCAGGAGGCGAGGCACAAGCAACTTGTAGGCAAGTCATTCTCCCAAGCTGAGATGTGGCCAAAGCAAAAATTCAGGTCTAAAAATGAGGAGAAAATTCAAATCTATCTCCAAAAAAATATGACTAAATCCATGCACTATACTACCCTTATCCCTTGATCTGAGCGTTAACCAGGTTGTAGTAAATGCACAGAGAGTTGCTATAGTGGACCCAGCTCAAAACCCATGGAAGGAACTAAGTCAGCATCTTACAGTAAGATACAGCTTGTTCTTTCCAATTGAACCATTACTATACTCTGTTGTGCAGTATTTTGTGGGGGAATTTCTTTCCAAACCTCTAAAAAAACAGTCCATGCCGATAATTAAAATATTATCATCAATACCTTTGCATTCTTAACTTTAAATAATGTCATAAATTCTCAGCTTGTTTTAAAAATAACTGTACTGTTGAAGCAATACTAATTTAAATTTAATTATAGACTTTGTGTAGTAGTACTAGTCATTAAATTAGCCTCTGCTTCTAAAAGTCTACCTAGCATATTTAATTGTTTGGCTTAGAGTCCTATAGGCTGATCATTCATATAGATTGTAGATAAATATTTCCTTCTGGTTGTTTCAATTACTTGCTGATCACTTTATTTTAATCCCCATTCTTTTCACGTCATTACTCCTTGAGATTTTAATGATTTTAAACAGCACAGTAAACTCCTTTATAATGTTCGCCAATTCAGACTAAATTTTCTGTGGTGTATTCAGACTTGATACTAGCAGTCCTATTCCAAAACCTTCTCTGTGACTCTGTCCTGTCCTGTCATGTGCAGGTTGTGTCCCCACACTAGGACAATGCCATCCCTGTGCCATGTTCATAGTTCAGACTCTGAAAGACAGAGGACCTTTCCCTGCCTCTTTCTTCCTGCATCCCCAGCAGGGAAGATGAAGCTGCCTATGCACACCTACTCACGTGTGATGGGACAGTCCTGCTGGAGGACAACCAGTGCTCTGGATCTCCTGCACATAGGGTCTTCTGTCCCAGGACCACAAGTGCTGCCATAGCCCCGTCCTCTCCCTGACATGGGGTTTGGCAAAGCTTCTCCTCAAGCTGGCAAAGAGGCACATGGGGATGCCAGGGTGGCAGTAGCTAGAAAGCAGCACTTGGCATGGCCAACAATAACTGTTCCAAGGTAGCTTTCATTAGAGATGAGCTGTTTGCTTGACGACTAATTAATTTGCTTTAAAAGCACATTCTGGCTCATTCTTAGAGCGATTTGCAAATGCATTTTCAATTGGTGTGTATGTCAAAATAATTTTGGGGGAGCAGCCTATATTTACCAGATATCTTCAGGGAGGAGTGGTGCTTCCCCAGCAGAGCCAGAGCCACCCAAAATCTGGGGTCTTTGAAGATAGGCTGGGCTACTTATCCACTACCTCTTCTCCTCCTGTAGGCAACTGCCCAGTTTATCCCCAACAGCCAAAGCAGAGTCTGCTGAACAGAGGTGTGCTCAGTACCTAATATCTATTGAGGAAAGAAAAGAAAAGAAAAGAAAAGAAAAGAAAAGAAAAGAAAAGAAAAGAAAAGAAAAGAAAAGAAAAGAAAAGAAAAGAAAAGAAAAGAAAAGAAAAGAAAAGAAAAGAAAAGAAAAGAAAAGAAGAAAGATCTATCATGGTAGCTAGGACATAAAAATCCTAAATTTCTGTATCAATTTTCCTATTCCAGAAAACTACTTCCTGGTTTTTTTTTTTGGTTTTTTTTTTGTTTGTTTTGTTTTTTTGTTATTGTTTTTTCCTATCCAGTTTCTATTTTCTTATGCTTTTAGAAATTTTGGGTTCCTGCATAGCAGGCTAAATGTACTCTCATGGTCTCTCCAGTGTTTCATCTTTTCTCTGCATTGATGTGGGTTCAGGCTGCCACTGAAAAGCTGTTGTCCTGTCCTCCCTCATCCCATTTCAGGGCTGTGAATTCCTCCCATCTTCCGTGCACCAGAACTAGTACTTTGTGGTCTGAAGGATAAACTAGAAGTTTTGGGTTCTTTTCTGTACTGGTTTTCAGCATCAGACACCTTTTGCAGACTCCTTAGAATTTCTTCCTAATATTTAATCTAAATCTACCCTGTTTCAGTTTAAAATGATTACCTGCTGTCCTTCCACTACACTCCCTGATAAAAAGTCCATCTATATCCTTCTTGTTGGCCTCCTTTAGATACTGGAAGATACTACAAGATCTCCCTGGAGCCTTCTTTTCCTCAGGCTGAACAACCCCAACTCTCTCAGCCTACCTCCATGGGAGAGGTGCTCCATTCTCATGCTCAACCCAGTGGCCCTCCTCTAGGCTTCCTCCAAGAGATACCCCATCTTTGTTATACTGGGAGGCTGACAAATGGATGCAGTACTCCAAGTAGGGGTCTCACAAAAGTGCAGTAGAGGTATAGAATCACTGCCCTCAACCTGCTGCTCCTCCTTCTTCTGATGCAGCCCAGGATACAGTTGGATTATGTCCGGTTTCTCATTCTCCAACATGCCCAAGTCCTTCTCCACAGGGCTGGTTTCAATCCACTCATCACTCAGCCTGTGTCCATGTTTGGGATTACCCCAACCCAAGCACAAGACTTGGTCTTGTTGAGATACATGAGGACTGCACAGGCCCAGCTCTCAAACCTGTCCAGATCTCTCTGGATGGAATCCCTTCCCTCTAGAATATCAGTCACACCAGTGAACTTGTCATCCCCAGACTTGCTGAGGGTGTACTCAATCCCATTGCCCACGTTCCCATGTTAACATCAGGATGTTAAATAATATGGTCCCAGAGGGACACCACTCATCACTGATCACTGGTCTCCACACAGCCATCAGGCCATTGACCACAACTCTTTGAATTTGTCCATTTCCTTATCCACTGTCCATCTGTCAAATCCATGTCTCTCTATTTTAGTGACAAGATATGCGTGGGATATCTTTGTTTTACACAAGGTAAATGGTATATGTCAGTCTCTCTTATCCATCTTCACTGTAACCCTGTTGTAGAGGGCAACCAAATTTATCTCAAATTTATGAGTTTCACCTTACACTGTCATGTAAGTGCACACTGCAGTACCAGTATTCTCCCTGGGTGATCCTCCCTGTCCTCTGTCAGTGCCAGCCTGGGAAAGGAGCAGGGAAATCCATGCATAAACTTTGACTGTGCTGCTGCAGTGAGTGAGGCTTGTGGAATGAAAGACTTGGACAGAAACCAAGAGAAGTGGTGGTATGTAGGGCTGCTGCAGAGCCAAGGTGTTAATGACATGCCAGCTAGGAAGAGTAAGTGGGATCCAAGGCAGTGCTGCACTCTTTCAGCATCTTTGTTGGGCATGGGAGAGGAAAATTAGGCTTATATGTTATATTATTTCCATATGGAGCTACTGTAATGCATGGAACTACACTAAGGCTTGTGATGAGTGTGGAAGGGTAAACAGCGATAGGAGCCTCTGTGGATCCTCTTCCCTTCCCTTTCTAAAAATACAGGGACAAGAATATGGAGAAAAAAGCAGGTGGTGTTACTGAAATATGGATTCTGTAATTCTTACAGGGTGTGAAGGGTGTGAGAATTGGATCTTTCTCAAAGCAAGGAATTAATTATGCTGCTTACAAGTTGGAATAATGTGAGGGTGCACCACATGTGCTTCCTGTTGTAGTGCCAGTGCACCTCCACAATGCCTTCTTGTCCACTTCCAGGCTCATTTTAGGCAGTGTTTATTTGTATTTGTGTGGCTTGTAGTAAGATAGAAGTTGCAAGTAAGCATCAGTAGAGACAATATCTTGTCTTTTGATAATGACAAGATATGGGAGGATCATAGTGAGTAAGAGTGGGGTAACCTGATTCTTGTGGAGATGTTTATCCTGTCTCTGCCTTTCAGAGTCCTGGTTCACTGTGAATGTTATAATTTTAAATCCCAGTCTTTATTGATGAGTGGTAAGATTTTGGCACTTGCATGTCCCTGCTGTGAAGACTTATTTGTGATTTTTCTTTCTGTCTCCTCAAATATGAATACTCTCTAATTTCATTGAATGATCAGTTATTCTTGTGTAATGTAAGACAGAGCACAGAAAATCTGCCTTTTCTCTGTGCCATATTGTATAATTGCATTATGTCTCTTGTAATCTCTCCTTTGTAAGGTAAATAGTTTTTTCTGTCTTTTCTCATGTTAAAATGTATCCAAATCCTTTATTATTTCCACTATTATTGTCTGAATCCCCTCTAACAGTGCAGCATTCATTTCCTGAGATGCTGTTATGAGTGCAACATGTGTCACAGCAGAGATAACGCTGATCTACATGAGTCACCTCCCCACCGGTCACCATTTTATTCACCATTTATCCTAATTTCTTTTAACTACAGTTAACAATTTCATTTAGAAGAGTGGTCTTCCTTGAGAAGGGTTCTGTGACCCTGAGGTGTCTTTACTGAATTGATAAAGTTTGCTTTAAAAGTATGTGTAATTACATTTTCTCCCTCTAGTACATGCTGATTTCAATATTGAGCTCATCACAATATTTTCTTTTCACCCAGCATTTTTTAGGTTTATCTTGATATTCTTCACTGTAATTTTTCATCTTTCCTGACCAAATAATTGTGTCTTATCTATAGGTTTTGCCATCTCATTGTTCATCTTCTTTTCCAGATAAGAATAAATGTAAAAAAAACATAGAACTGAGTTTACCTTTTTCCTGATCTGAAACAATTATTATTTGGAGACATATTTAGATGAATTGATAAATTCTTTTTATGTAGATTTCAATAGCTAAAAGACTAGATTGCAGCTACTTTTTTTTTTTTTTTCATATGCCAAAACCATAAGAAAACTAACAGTCTACCAAATTATCTTACAGACCCTGTCCAGAAGAATTTCAAATCCCTATTTGGAAACTCCTTCAAATAAGGTACTTGTGAAGCTTCTTTTTAATTCTATTTCATCAAACAACATGTGAGGAATGCTTCTGCTTCAGTTCAACCTTTTAATGGTAGCTTTGAAGACACTTGTGAATGTGACCTGCAGTTAAATCCAGTTAAGAAGTTAGTTATCACTTTGTGTGTGTGTGGAACAAATCATGTCCTTCTATTACTGAGTTTGCAAAATGAATTGTTGTTAATTTCAGTGTGCACTTGCTTCCCAGTCACTTCAATGATTGCCACTGTTTGGCTTACTTTTACACTATTTGAGAACTGTGGTTTGCATGCAACAATATGCATGTCTGGCTTGCTGTCTCAGGTCTATTCTGTATGCCTTAAAAAGTTCCTAAACGTAGGAAGCAAACAAACAAAAAGATGAAACCAAACAGCATCAAGTTAGTTCTTTGTGTCACTTGGTGTGTATTGATGGGACAGTCAGGAAACATCACGAAAGAAGCCCAAGGTAAATTCTTCAGTAAGGAGTACAAGGAGTCTGGGTGGAACATGATTTTATGGAAGACTGATTTAAGTTCTGTTTTGACAGACACATCTGCAGCCTTGAGTTGCAGGGTAGAAATCAGGTGTGGGGGAATCAGAGGTGTGTCCATTCTGAAAGATCATGTCCTCCTGGCAATGCATGGATGAACTGATCTACAGCTGTCATAGGAAACCTCCAAAGGTTCTGAAGGAAAAGAAAAGACTATGAAACAGTGTTTCAGTGTGTATTAGGCTTGAAATAAATTATTTAGCCCAAATACATTGGAAATTATATCTATTTTAAACCGTATTTGTGTGATTTTGCAATAGCTCATGTGTCTCTGCTTTGCTAGAATAACATCTGTTTTCATTTTACTGTTTCTCAAAGGTAAAGCTGATGGATGGATAGTAAAAACTCTCCTTTTCTAGGGCAGCCAATCTAAAATCAGCCCAGCTCATAGGGCACCTGCAACACATGATACAACTGGCAGAAGCTGGGGTGCATTTCCTGTGAGACTTTGAGTGCTTGCTTGTCATTTACCTGTGAAGAAGGCATTGCTCAAAGGGAGGGAGTGGACAGTGGCAAGGCAATTTACTTCAGCAGGAATAAATCCCTGTTTGTCACAGTTTTCAATTTCTCTTTTCATTCAGATTTATGGAGAAAGTTCTTCCTGTGCTGGGAGAGCTCTCAGGAATATTTTTACTCTACAAGCTTCTGACCTGATTAAAGACAGGGTGTACCTTACTGGCATTTGCAGGTAAATCAAAATAATTTGTTTTAATCAGTTTTAAGAGTATTTGCATTTATCCATGCCTCTATGATTTGACAAGAGAGTAAATTCTGAGTGAAAGATTCTGCATATGTCATTAAGAATTGAAAAAATTTTCTTAAAACATTTCTTTAGTGTCTCATGTACCTTAATATGTTTTCTTGCATTACAATGTCAGTTTTCAGAAAACAGCAGTGGCCTGATTGTATATCCATTTATTCAAATGCTTATGATTTTCATATACAATAGTGTTTGTCAGTTATTTTGTTGGAAAGAAAGAGTATTAATTTCAGCCCTGATTTGGAGTTATAAAAGAGCTTAATTGTATTCTAGGATTTAGTGACACAGTGATTCCTGCATGTAATTTATGGAATATTTCTGTAATGAAGTGATTTTCCATTTGTGTTGCCTTGTAGCATAAATGCTTCCTCCTATTTTCAGTTATACCAAAATATACAGCTCTCTACTATAGCACCATTCATTCACACCTGTGTTTAGGAGAAATCCATTACTTTTTAATTATTGTTTAAATATATCTATTTACCATTAAAAGTACATCCCAGAGCAGCACTTAAAGGTCTTACATATATTGTTTAGCTATACTGATTATGCCTATGCTCAGAAAGAAAAGAAAATCCTGAGGCTAAAAATTGGATTTTATTTATCTCATGCATCTTTGGATGAACTGTATGCAGCACAAATTGATAAAAATGCTACATATTGCAAAGTATGCTACATGAATCAGGTATGTAAGGGAACTTGCTCTTCTAACATAAGTTCCCTCATTGTAGCTGGAGGTATCCCCTGAGGCTTGCCAATGTAATTTCTTCCCCTGAAATGAATAGGTTTACAAAAATTAGGATTTGAGACAAAGAGTTTTCTGTGCTGAGCAAAAAGGCTTTTTGATAGCTTTAAAAATAGCTCTTTATTATAAAAGAATGCTTTAGCATTGCTGTAGCTTAAGAAGTGATGTTTTGCTTATTTTCAGGAGAAGCTGTGTTGGATCAGAACTCGTAGACTGGCTTTTGGAGCAGTGCCCTTTTGTCAAGTGCAGATCTACAGCAGTTGGAGTGTGGCAGCTCCTCCTGGATATGGGCATTATATTGTCAGGTCAGTCCTGCCAGTACTTCCAGTGAGAGGAAGGCTATCCCTTTCTCCTGCATAGGACAAGAGTTGTGGTTTTGATCAGAGGAGGGAAAGGAAAAAAGCACAGATTGATCAAATTTTCTTGCCAGTTCTTTATTCTACTATCTTTTCGGGAGGCTCACGTCCGTGACCTTTTATTTCACAAATACCAAAGATCAATCCCCTGTTTGTGGCAATTTCGTTCCCTTTGCTTTTGCAACAGTAATTGCCTATTATCAAGTTGCAGACAGAGTGCTGGTCTTTTCCAGCCTTTCTTTTTCTTTCCCACAAGTTATTTTAGGTTTCTCACAAGACAGCAGCTGTTTAGCCACTGCAGATCATGGCTTTACCAGATGACTTCTGTAACTATTAATGATTTTCTTTTCCTCTCTGTTTTCCACAATTTTTAATTACAGTGGGTTGAGAGAGGACCCAGGTCCTTGAGATGGTAGTGAGGCCAGGTCCTACCCTGCTGTCCCCAGCTCCCCCACCAAACTGAGGGATTTGGTTCAGATAACATGGTTGGTGATAATTTCACTGGTAACCAGCCTCTGGATATCTGATGCTTTGAGGGTGGGACTGCTTAGGCAGCTCAGATTAGGTTATACTCCACCCTGGGGTCTGTGCTAGACACTTAACCCCTTTCTTGTGAAAAGGTGAGGAGTTGTGGAAGATTTCTGCATGTGTACACTGACAGTGTAAGGGTTTTTTTCAACTAAACTGACAGCATGTCTGGTGGTGCAGCCTCAGCAAGGCCTAAATTACTTGCTGCAGGAGCTTGTGCTTTTGGCTTTGGACTGTCCCTTCTTCCCTATCAAATAAATTTTTCAGGAAAGACAACAAGTACATCTTCTTATCCAAGTTTAGTCTACAAATCCAGTAGCCCTGAATTTGAGAAGAAGCTGGAATAATGATGAGCTGCATCCCCATTACTACACTTTGTTTACTGGTGCCTGATCATTACTGAAAACAGTATAGAAACCAATGGAAACTGAGGAATCTAACAAAAAAGAGAAAGGTTTTAATTCCCTAAACCTGAACTGATTCTGAAATTGACTAAACACTCATCAGTCTTAAGGCTTGAATTTCAGGCTCCTGGAGATCTTTAAACTGAGGTTTTGGGGTTTTCCTCTTTGGATGCACTGAATTAAACTGAGGATTGTTTCTGTGCTGAATATTCAACCCTTTTTCCCAAGTGATGGTGCAACTCAGCATTAAGATCAAGTGTAATACAGAATGTATATTACATGGTGAAGGTTTAAAGGATATCTAATATTATTTTTCTAACAGTGGACAGACAACTCTATTTTCAAGACAGTCATGCTTTCTACCAGTTCTCAGCGGATGAATGTACCTACCTTTTCTGTGAATTTGAGAAAGAGGAAGCATGGAAGAATGGAGTAAAGCTCCTACTTCAACTACTGCCACTGTCTCCTCCCAGGATTGACATGTGCAATCTGTAAGTGTGCGTGTACAGCTGTTTGCAAATTCTATTGACTATTTTATAAGTATCTGGCCTTATAATGACACTGTTTACCCCCAAATCACCTTGCAAATGAGACAGTTTTTTCGGGGGGGTTGGAAAATCTTGTAGAGATGTGCTTTCCATCTGAGAAGGTCAGTATGGGTACAAAAATGGAGGCACTTGACTAGGAGTTTTGGACATATTACAGTTTTTAGGCACTGTATTGCTGCCTCTAGCTTGCAATGCCCTCTACCTGGGCACGTGACTTTTTTTTGTCTTCTCTTACATTTGGAAGTTTGGCATTAATTTGGCAGCAGGGATGCTCTGGTGCTGATTGACTAGCAGGTCAGATGCCCTTGTCATGTGTCAGGATCAGGTTTCAGATGGATTGACAAGATGGGTGGAGATGTGGTACCTTCGGTCATTTGATTTTAATTTCCTAATGTATTTTTGCCAGAGCTCTGTAAACTCACTTTATTATTCCTTTTTCAGAATATGCCTTTAAAGAGTTTTACTTCCTATGTGTCTCCCCTTTCACCTGACTATTGTATGTTATTGTGCTCTTTGTGCTCAGGTGTCTGCACTGAGTGGCTAGAAGGAAAACATAGTTATTTGTTCCACAGTGAGAGGCCAAAATAGAAGAAAAAGGTGTTAGTGAGAGTTCTGGAGGCTCATGACTATTTACTATGCTTTAGTAAATCTGCAGGAGCTGGCCTGAACAGACAAGTTGAGTTAAATTCTTTCATTGTCCTTAGCATGATGATCCTCCAACTCAATACTTTGGAGAACTATTACCCTGTCAGTACCAGAATTTATTCTTTTTGATGCCAAAGACAAATCTTTCTTCTATGAGTACCTTCCTTCTCTGCATACTAGCTTTTAAAACTGCTCATTCTCAAAGATGAATATCCAGTAGAAATATCTTAAAGGAGCACAAAGTCAGAAGACCCTGTAAGCTGTCTCAAGCCCAGATTCTTACATTCACACATGCTGAGTTGGTAGGAAGAAACCTCAGTAATTTGGCTGCATGGTTCAGGGCAGAAACTTGATTCCCCTCCCTACTGCTGACTGCCCTCACCAATCAAATATTGGCAGTTTTGGAGTGGAGATTCCCTTCAAAATTCATTTATTTGATCAGCTTGAATGAGTGTAGACAAGTGACAAGAACCCCAAGCCACTAGAGCAGCGGGACTGAAAATGATCTTCTAAGCAGCTGACTCACATGGGAGAAAACCTTTGACTACTTTTGCAAATAGAAATTCTTGTCTTCCAGCCAACTCTGGTGCTAAATGGTGTGTCTGCCCCTTAAATATCAGGGCATTTTGATCTTGATTTTAGTGGGAATTGGGATTTTTCTCATCACTGTAAATCAGACCACTTTTCGTGGTTTGTGTCTCCTTGTTCAAAGGATTTGAATCAGAAGGGAAGGACAGATGGGTCATATTGATATGTTACGTGAAGGATGCTGGGTAGGAAAATGGATTGAAGGCTTTTTAAGTTCAAGTTTACACTCTGCAGTTTTATCATTTCAGTGCAACTGTCATTTCCAGTGGAAGATGATCCCTGTCACATGAATTGAACAATTATTCATTAATGTACATTTCCAGCTCCTTCCTGCTCACATTATTCAAATTTGAGTTGAAGCTGGATTCCTTTTGGGAATATTGTCACTGAAAAATTGTTTTCTGGAGCTTTTACCTGTCAGATTGTGAGGGTGCTTTTTGAAAAAGTATATATTGTAGGAATTGAATTTTAAATAATGCTGTACCCTTGAGGGAATGTGATGTTAAAGCAGAAGGAGACTTTTCCAGGTTCAAAATTCTTCATGCTTGATGCAAATAATAAACTGCTAAAACACAGCCAGAAAAGCAATAGGTGTGATGAGATGTTTGTTAAAGTTGTCTTACCTGGTTAAATAAAGCTTTTCATGAGGAAAGAGGGCAATTCTAAAAAACTTTCCTTGCAGGGTTTGTCTTTTCTTGACTATATAAGCTGTTTTGCATATCATTAAGATATAAGATATCATTAAGATATTTTTATAATTTAATATTTTTGTACTCATTTTTCTGTCTTAGCTCTTCTCACAATCTATAATGACTGCATTAACCCTATAAGTACGTAGGGGTAGGGCAACTCTTACTTCATTAATTAGATTCCCTGCTTTTGATGAGATCAGAAGCAAATGCCCATTTGTGCACCAGAAGGGAGCATTGGCTGTCTCCTGGTGGTCCCAGGAGCCAGATGCTCTGTCTCCTCTGCAGCTGTGAGCAGCAGCCTTGTGCTTGCCTGGGCTGCTGGATGCATCAGTGGGTCCCTGGGGTACCATGGTTCTGCTCTCCCAGAAGGAGTCTGTGGACCTGAGTAGGCAGCAGCAGCTCTGGGCACTTCCTCCAGCAACTATTCTGGAAACCTTGTTAAACTAACATAGCTCAGATTTGACTTGCTGTATGGATTTTTGAGTGATCTTTATTTGCTCCTGCTCAGTTTTAGTGGTGTTACCAAATTACTACAGGAAACTCTACAATGAAAGTACCGGTCTGAAGTCTGAGATGTGCTTATGATTCCTGAATAAATGCTCCCTGTTGGCCTTGGTGGAAATTCCTTACACTCAATAAAACATTGGTGGGAATTCACCATGGAAAACAAGTCAGAACATTCTACTTGAGTAGAAAACAAGTGAATATGGCAATAGCCTGGGAACAAAAAATCTAAATTGAAAGCTGTGCCATGGACTTCCTTAAAACCTTGAGCAATCACTTAGGCTCTTATTCAATGCCTCCTGAATTCTTTCCCAGTTACTGCAAGGTTGTTGTATCAGGTGTTTAATCCTTGTGTGCTTCTATTTCCTTCTTTGTAAATGGGAGTGTTTATAACAATTCCCAGAACCACTGGTAGACTCAGTGAACATTTCAAGAATGCACTTGGTACCTGAGACTGTTGAAATGTAGCCCATAATATTTTTTAAAATTATTGGAAAATATGTTAACAGATTTTTTTTTTCTTAATATTGCATTGATTTTTATTTTCAGGAGTGTTGCTCTGTCTTCCATCCTGAAACATTTTTCATTTTATTGATATCAGGAAAGTAACCATTCTTAAAAGTAATTTGGTTTTAATGCTAATAACCAGGATGGGATATTGATTTAGTTACTGCCTTATGGAGTTCCTGGAAAGCTTTTGCTGAACACAAACAGCTCTTGGTTATTGTATGGAAACTGACTTACCTGCTTGCAGATCTAGGACATGCATCCCTGCATCTCACTCTGCTTGGCAGACTGAGCCCACAGATCACTGAACTGTGTAAGCACTAATTTGCCTGGGCTTTGTAGCTCCTGTTTGGTACCAGGCTCACTAGGTCCTAGCTGTCCACTTTTGAAAAAATTTAAGGTGATAACTGTTGCTTTTGTCCATTAGCCTGGGTGTCATAATATACCCTTCCCCCCTGATTCTGAAGAGCTGACTCTAATTTTTAGTGTATTCATGGTTTCAGAAGTATTTGATACTCATAGGCAGATAAATACTGGGGGAGTATTTTTAAATAGAAAATGAAGTGATAAAGGCCCAAGAAGGAACTAGCTATGCTATGTGCTGATCTGGGTTTATAGATTGCATCTGTGGCTGTGTCTATTGGGCTGCTATCTTCTGCCTCCAACTTGGAACAATCAGGTCCTAGCCTGGTTCTGAGAGATCAGAAGAGAACAGATGTGTAGGGGAACATCTAGAGAGTTCAGTTATTTTAATCGCATTCCAAATTATAAAGAGAAAACCTGAATAAATCAGTCTTTGTAAATTAAAATGCATTCATTTTTTTCTTTTGGGCTGTTTGTAACATTTAAAATGTTAGATCACATTTTCTTTGACTAGGAAAGGCAGTTGTGAAAATAATTTTGATTTTAATCTGAATTACCATTTTGATCTGATTTTGCTTGCCCCAAAATGAATGCATGTGTCATTCTGTGCTTTCTGACCTTAATTTTTTAATCAGGGAATGAAATTTCATGGGATGTAAGAACCACAATATACCAGCTGCATATTCCAGATGTGTTGCCAGCTCTCTCCCTAAGGACATCAAGGCATATAAGCAATTAAATAATTTAGTCAAAGACAGAAGCTTCTGCTAATACCTGGGATTTATGTTTATTACAGCAGCTGCAGTTTTGTGTATCTGTTCAGCATGCTGGCATGCTTCTTGAATACCATGAAAAGTAAAGATCTCAAGGGCATTTCCTTTTACTTCTCGTAGTTCTAACCCTATCACTTTGGTATAATGCTTCTGATTGTCAATAAAGCTTCTGAAAGGTTTACAGATATTTTAGTGATCGGAATTAGACCGTTTTAAAGATCAACTCAGTCTTATCCTGTACTGTCCACTTTTGTGTGGCTGTTTCCATGTGGGCCAGACTTCTGGGACAGTTTCTGGGAGAGTTCTACCTTCACTGCCTCACTCTTGACACATTAAGTCTCTTTCTTGTGAGTTACTGTCAAGACAACCTAATATTGTTCTCAGCCATTACTTTAGTTTGGTTGTTTATGGCTTCTTAAATGTATTGTTTTCACTTTCGGTTATTTTTTCTGAATATCGAATTTCTCATGTCACAAAATTGTTTTGATGTTTTCATCTTGTCTGTTTTCATCTACATAAAGTTGTACTCCACAGGTCCTGCTCCACATCTTAGCAAAGCTGGGTGGAGGGTAGATAGAAAACTCTTTGCTCTGTTTATAGAGTATGTTTTTAGCAAAGCAAAATATGCAGTCAAATAAGCAACTCTGATTGAAAGGGTCCTGCATTCTTCAGTTCTTCATCATATTTTTATAGCTGAAGAATTCTCTCACTGCTTCATGTTGGTCGGATAAAAAGAGTTCTTGATAGCAAGGGACAAAGGGTGTACTCTGTCATTACTGACATGATTAATTATTGTCGTGTTGCAGTCCTCATTTTGATGTGGAATCTCAAAGGCCCTTTTACATTAGTGCCTGTGGCTACACAGTTCCTTACTTTCCAGGAATCAAAAGATGTTGAAACAGAATGAAAGAAATAATAAAATCTTATTTTTATTTTTTAAGGCCTGATCAAAAAATAGAAGATACAGCAGAAACCAATGCTGAAATTCTTGCTCGTCTCACTTCTGCGGTAAGGTCATTGCATCAAAGTTTGAACTGATCGTGTTTGAAATATTGTCATGTTTTGGATCCTTTCAAATTAAAGACTTAGTCTAAGTGAACAGATGTTTGTATATGAAGACAGTTTTTTTAGTCTCTGGAAGGGGAGAGTTTTACTGAGGTCTTAGTGTACAATTCTAAAGCTATTAAAATCAACCCAAGCAAGGACTGCAGCAGCCTGCTCTTGTAATAGATGCTGTCCATGGCCCAGAAGAGACCAACCTGGAGGACCAAGGTGACTTTTGTGTGATGTGCTTTACACTCGGCCCCTCGTGTTCAAGTGCACATCCATGGGAGACAAAGGGAGAGAAAAGTCTTCAGGAGCCCTTGTGCAGATTCTCACAGACTTCTGAGGAGACCCACCTGGGAAACTCGAGCTTCCCAACTATGTTTAGCCCCAGTAAACTCCACCATAATAAACAGTAGCTCATTCTGTCTGTGCTAGACTTTGGTGCATCTTGCTTGTCTTGTGAGATCCCTGTTGTAAGAAGCAGACAGACAGGACTCCAGAAAGTTAAGCTAGACTGACTCCATTTGATGTAATCTGTATGATAGCACAGAGTGCACCATCAGAAAATTAGCAAGCAATGCAACAATGGGAGGAATGGTTGGTGACCATCCCTGGAGGTATTTCAAAGATGTGTGGATGTGGTATATGGGGACATGGTTTAGTGTAGACTTGGCAGTGATGGGTTGACAGCTGGACTAGATCTTACGGGTCTTTTCCAACCAAAATAATTCTGTGACTCTATGTTTGTGCTGCCACTTAGAGGGACTTTGACAGTCTGGAGAGATGGGCCAACAGGAATCTTAGGAAAGTCAACAAAGGGCAATGCAATATCCTACATCTGGGAGAAATAACCTCATGATTCTGTACAGACTGGGGGTTGTTCTGCAGGAAAGGACCTGGAGGTCCTGGTAGACAGCAGACTGAACCAGAAACATGCCCTTGGGGCAAAGAAAGCAAGTTCTTTCTGAGCTGCATTACCTAAAACAGGTGATCATTCCCCTCTCCTCAGCAGTGGTGTGGCAGATGTGGAATGTTGGGGCCAGTTCTGAACTCTCAGTACAAGAGATATGGATGTCCTGGAGCGTGTGTGAATGACCACGGAGATGGTTGGGAATAGAGTACTTGATTTACCAGGAAACTGACAAAAGTGGGAGTGGAGTTCAGTGGAGAACAGAAGGCTATGGGAGGACCTTGTGGATGTGTACAAATACCTGATGGACAGGCTCTAGCTGGCCATGATTTTCAGCAGAGGTTTGGATCAGATGATCTCCAGACATGCTTTTCTACCTCTACCACTCTGTGACTGTGAAGTTCTGTGAACACCACACCTAAGTCATGGTATCATCAAACATGGAATTAGAGTTAGTTCTGTTTTTGGTATGTGAGAAAGTACAGAGACAAAAATGAAGCAAGCAAGGTAAGGTTTTTTATAAAAAAGGCATGGGGATAAGAGCTATTTTAAGAAAAATAAGTAAAGTGCTATCTTGAAATTGCTGGAAAATGGAAGGAAAGGAGAATTTTTGCTGTCTTTTGTAAAGACAAATTTCTTTACAAAACACATTTCATAATGTGTTTGGAAAGCCAATGATTCTGTATATCTTCATAACTGTATAACTTTATGCAACAGTATTTTAAAATGCACGACATAAGCAAATGCTGTGTTTTAAATCTCTTTTTATTGTCTCAATATTTAAATTCCTTGTTTTTTCTGCCTTTTTTCTTAACTGAAAATGAACGGTGAATTCAGAAACTCAAAATCCTCCATTTTTGTTACCATACAGAGCAAAAATAGAAAACTGTGAAAGACTTTCTGCAAAGTTATATTTTTTCAAAAACTTGCAAAACACCAACTCTATAAAACATTGCCAGTACTCCTCAAAAGCTTTGCCTATCAAAAATAGAATAATGGGGGGTTTTGTCAATTGAAAAAAAGGAACACACTCAACAAAACAAAGTGACCTTTGGAGTTTAAGGACTGGATCTAGCAGTTGCTGGATACACTTGAGTAACATACAAATCCTTAAACACCTAATTGACAGTGAGTTCAGAGTGCTTCACATCTTCAAGGTCAAGCCTGTGAACTACCTCCCGTGTCATTCTAACAATAAGGCACATGGACAGGGTTTTCTTAAATGAACCATTTCATTACTGTAGCTAACTAGCTAAAGAAAAATTAGGCAGTTCCGTCTCCAGATGGCCTGAGACCCATCTATTGCCATGGCGATATCAAGAATCTGATCTTTTCTCCTGGATTTTCTGATTTTCCACAGCATTTTGTAGTGCCTCTATGATTTCTTGTCTACCCCTGGGGAAAAAGCATAAGACCAGAGCAGAATCCTCCAAATTTTAACATCTGTATATGAACCTTTCCTGTTTATCCCTCCAGAATATTGCTTTTCTTCCATACAGTAGATTGAGACCTAAAATACTCACTGCAACCTTATGGAAAGTCTTTTTATGTCCCAGAAGAATTTGAAATCTCAGCTCACACCATTCAATAGAGGGCTGGTATCTAGCAGGACCTGGAAACTGAAAGTGAAGTTATTACCTATTACTGGAAATGTGTTCCCAGTGGCTTTTTGGCTCACTGCACGTTTATGTATTTTGTACCAAATTAAAATGTTCTTCTTTGAAGAATTCATAATTGAAAATCCTGCTCATGATGCTCTTCACACCAGTATTTCAGAAGTGTGAAAAACCCACAAAATCATCCCTATTTCCAGCCCAGCACTAAAGCAGTCAAAGATTAGGGTTGACTTTTTAACTGAAGATGCAAATCCCACGTCTGTCTCTTCTACTTTTCTTTTTGCTTTTCATGGGATAAAAAAATTATTTTTTTTTGAGGGGTCAGAAGAAAGTTTCTGTGTCAGCTTTTTTTTTCAGGGGATTCCATTCCAAGTTTCCAAATCTAAACCAACTGTGAGGATATAAACCAAGCAACATTGGAGGAATCTGTGTGCCTAAAATATAAATCCCTCTTTTTACCTATCAAATTATATGCTTATATCATATGCTCCATTACACCAGGCACCAACAAAACCATCAAACTTAAATTCTAAAGGCAGGCAGTGCAAAATTTGCCAGCAGTGCAAAATGCCATTAGAAATGCATTTGCATCAGATAATCTTTTTGGTCATGAATATTTTAAAAAAATGCAATGATTAGTCATGGGTTTAAAAAAGCATTCCAGAGCTATCTTGCATCCCATGTTGTGTCCTGAAGAGCAGCTTCATATTCAGTGTTTTGTGTGCTAAAAGCAGAACACAGTGGGATGGCTGTGATCCCACTGCAAAGCTTTTTTACCTTAGCTTGTGAGGAAACAGAAGAGAATATCAGGGTGTTAATGAGGTGTATCTGGCCAATAGTTTTCTCATACTTTAAGGCATCAGCCAATATTACTTTTATTTAGAGTCCATCAAACTATCGTAACTTGAGATGCAAAAATGTGAACTAGACTCTTGGTGATTTTCAAAACCCTGCTGTGTAGAGACTTCTGCTGCAGGATTTAATTTTGAGAGTCTGTAAGGATTGACACTTTATGTTTGAAGTCCTGCTTGACACAAAGGCATCTAGAATACTGTCTCACAAAAAGCTACTATGGGCAGAAAAAAGAGAAAGGAAAAAAAGTAGAGGTGGTATGCACTGTCTGCTAGATGCACAGTTATGTCTCACTATGACAAAATTATAAGATTTGTGATGAGAAGACCAGTAGTTGTCATTTACTTTTAAAAATTCTCCATTCTTTGAAGACAAGATTCACCATATAAACGAGCCATTTGTACTTAATCAAGCAGAAGTATACCTGGATATCACTTTCCAGGCATACTCTTCTCTGTTGCAAAAAGAAAGAGATGTGGTAACATGCCAACTACCCACTCAAAATGTTCTCTTTCAGACTTTCATAATATTTCTGTAAAGATTGTGTGGTGAATTGGCCTTTAAGCGGAATCAGTTTTGGCATCTACAATGCTACTCAAAAGGGATGCTGTTTGGATAGTGTTAGTTTTGTAGCAACAAGCTGTATGTATGAAACATTTTTTAAAATTTAATATGTCAGTATGCTAGGCATAGTTCTTGTTTATATATTTTATTTTGTGTCTGCATTATTATCTTCAATGTGATGTGCAACTATTGATTTTGTCAAACAGGCGGTAACTGAAATCCTATTAGGATGTAGAAGTATGGTAACGGGTAGCATGTGTGCAGTGAGGAATGAGTGCTGTACATGGATTTCCATTGGTGTAATAATGCAGAGGAATTGCATGCCCAGCAGGAATGTCAAGTGCATTTATGCTAAAATAGACAAAAGCATATAGATTATGAAATCTAGGGACACCAATCAAATCCAGAAGGATGCTCAGCAGGACCAATTATTTGTGATTGGAGTGAATCCTATGAGAGGGAGCTCAGATTATCATGATGGAGCACTTTGATGAAGGAACTTTTGCTTACTGTTAACACCAGAGAAACATATTTCCCACCTTCTTTATCTGAAGGGTTTTGCTCAAGTTAAGTAAAAGACCAGCAGCATTCCTGGCCAGCAGGAAAATATGAAATATTTAGCTTGAACTATGACATAGACAAAATATAGAAACCCAGCCTTTTAAATACCTGTGATTTTAGCACTATCTTTCAGACCTAAAAGGTGCCCCCTTATAAGAAAAAGTAATACTGGAAATACAACTGCAGGATGCCACAATGCTGCCTTTTCCTCTGACAAGATGGGTTTTTCTTTGCAGCCATGGAGATACTGGCATTTCTTGAATGTTTGACTGGGTTAAGTGATACATTTGCAATTGTTTCAGGTTGTAGCATCTCTTATGGATAATCTATGGGTAATGTGGGTCCGAGAAGAGTAGTCATGAAAAATCATGGTGTTGTTATTCCAAAACAGCTTGGGCTTTTATTGAAAATCCTGCTCTTTACTAGAGAGCTTGTATGTATTATTATAATACTTGTGTATAGCAGTTGCTGCAAGGAAGCACACAAGTTGTTTTTCCACAGAATAACTGTTCTTTCTCATTTTACTTGAATTTTATGCTTACATTATCCATGATTAATATTTCTCCAGACATGGGAATGAGTGTACAGGAAGGAAGGAAGGGAAGGTAATACTGCCAGCTTGCACAATTGTGCTGGAAACAGGATGACATTTAAGAAAACCATGGCACTGCCTTCATATTTTCCTGCTTGGAGTGGCAGAAAACTCAGTCCCTCTCAGTAAGGCAGCATCAAGGAATGGAAAAGATCCTTTTCCCTTGCAAGTACAGCAAAAAAATTTTCTTGGTCCTTTGCCACAAAGGAAAGAAGGGTGCAAGCAGAGGAAGGATGTGGCCTCTGGTATGATTGCCTTCTGCCACATGCAGAGTGTACTGCTGGCTCCTGAGAATCTGATCAGTGGGTGCTGGAGTTACTGAGATGTTGTACTCAGATGCCCTGAGTGATTTTGTCTGTCTTTCTGCTCAGACCACTATAGTGCTGACTACTCTTCTTTCAGTTTTCAAAGATCTCTTCAGAGTAGTGAGGATATTGACAGTTAGTAATTGTATTACATTGAGAATCCTCTGTGGGCTTTGTGCCTTATGACCAAACTGCATATCTTGAGAAGGATGTTTGAAATTTCACATCTCTCAGAATCTGCATGTCAAACCTCCCACTGCAGAATAGCCTTGAACCTTGCCTAGATCTGTTAGACAAGATAGCTAGTATACACTGCTGGAGACTTTGTACAGAGAGGTGAGACTATCCCTAGAAAAGATTGGACTGTGCCATATTTTTCTTTTGTTTTAATACTGAAGACAAGCTGTCTTGGGAAAATTGGGGAAATTGGAAGGAGCTGAGAGATCTTTAAAGAAATCTGAGAGCACTGATAGGGCAGAGGAAGGGAAGAACTGAGGTGTGTGCAGCAGAGAGCATTTGGGGTGCTGTAGGCCAAGTGCAAGCAGCTGCAGTGGGACAGATGATGGCAGTGAAGAAGTAGGAAGCATAAGAATAATTCATATAAAAATGATAGAAAAAGAAATTATATAAAAAGTACAGAGAGAAGTGGATATAGAGTTGAGCTGGCTAAAGAGAGAATTGCTGGTATATACAGAGAGTATGAAGAATGCAGAGGCAGGAGGATGGGGAAGGGAGCTGGTTATCATGGCAGGGCTGTGTTACCATAGGCTAGTGAGGGAGCCTGTAAAACTGAAAATAGCCCTGACCTCTGCATTTTCATCTCAAGTGAAATTTTGATCCTGAAATTCTCAGCCATGCTACTAGGAGAGGTTGTTTCCTCCTGGAAGATCCAAAAAGTGAAAGTCAGTTATATGCATGAACCTCTGTCAAACCTCAGCATGAAGGACTTTCTGATTCTGGAGTCACACAAGAAATCCAGCATTACAGCGTGCTCATCAGAGGCAAAACAAATATGTAACAAGGGATGGGAGAAGATTCAAGTGTGTACTTGTGAAAGAGATATGCTGTGCAAATAGATTACAGGTTGGGCTACTGAGTTGCCCACTCCCTAAGGAATGTGTGGCATTTATATGAAATTAAAGTCACAGAATTCCCAGCTGAAAAGGGTTTGCTAGGAAAACTGACTGTAGTTTCAAAACCAGGCATTGTTCCACTTGCAGTTGATTTCTCCAAAGCATTGATAGCTCTTATCTTACCAGTGTTGCATTTTGTTTTATTTGACTGTGCTAGGAACTATAACAATCCTTTTCTTTTCCTGATATTTTAGGTACAGAGAGAACTGGCTGCTGTCATTGCCTTGAAAGCAAGGAAGTCAGGTGAGTCAGGCTGAACTTCAGAGGAGTTTTTGTAATGCTGTTCCCTTTTGTCATTTCTTGAAGTATCTGAATTGTCACTGCTGTCTTTTTAATATGGGGAAGAAAAGAAAGTAATGGAGAATTTGTGTATACAGCACAATGCAATTACAGTTAAGCTTCTCTCCTTCCAGCTCATTACATCTAATGACTTAGCTAACAAAATCAGTGTTACAGTTGAACTCGAGTCTCTTTCTGGCCAAGATCACTATTTTCTCTAGGCTTGTGCTTTATAAAAAAGCTGATGTCTTTATTTGACTTACATTTAAGACAAATAAGTTGGTCTTTTTTTTTTTTTTTATCATTCAGTATCTCATCCCATCATCTTTTCTGCCTTTTTACCGGCCCAGCCAGGTGTTCTGCTAAAGCAAAAAACCAAATTCATGCAGAAAGGCATTCTTTCCTGTCTGTACATCTGTATGGCTGGAGAGGCAAGTCTTCGATCAGGGCAGGAGAAGGGGAAAGGCAATTGGGTACCTGGAAGCCTCTGGCAGTAAAAGCAGCAAATGCTGGTGCCACAGTGCAAAGGCACTGAAATATGTGCCCATCTCAGCTCCACCAGGGCTTGGTGGCACAGGCACTGCAGAAGGCAGAGTCTGCATTGCTGAGCTGGAGTAAAAGCAACTCGCTGTGTTTGCCAGGCACTGCACAGGAACCAGCAGAACCTACTTGGCCAGACCTGACTCTTTACAGGGTTAACTCTCTGGTGTCTTCATGCAGTGTCTTCTGCACCAAGATGAATGTGTTTCTAAAGTGAAACAGAGGTGGAGTGCCCATAAATTATTAGCATGTTCCCAAAGCCACTGAGGTCTTTTGACTGCATTTTCACTGAGCATCTTTTGTGATTTCCAGTGATTTTTCTAGCAATCAAAGACACAGACCTTGTACTTCTTGATATATTTTCTGACTGGTTCATTGTGCTGCTTCATAATATCTATCAGTTTGTCTGTGTCTTAAAAGTACAGCACAAAATTTACTACACACATGCACAACACACAGCATGGCACAGTAAACTGGAGGCACCAAGAAGATGTGGCTGATGTACCTGCAAATATTTTCTTGTAAAAATGTAAGTATTGAAAACAATATTCTAGGCATAATTTGATGCTGTTTTTTTCTGGAAATAGAAGTACCCACACTCATCTGTCAAGGTAGATTTGTAGAAAGTGAACACAAACGGGTGAATTCAGACCTGAATTGCTTCAGTGTGGTAGCTTTGCTTCTGAAGGCTCTGTAGCAGTTTATGATGTCAACACCACTCAGCTGCTCGCCCTTACCTGGTGTCACCCCAGTCCCACCTGACTTGTAATGGCTGAACATGGAAATGCTTCTGCTCTGGCTCAGTGCAGAGGAAAACAGGCAATTTTAAAGAAGCTCTCAAGGTAATCTTTTGTTTTGTCGTTAAATGGGCTGAGTGTGGTGCCCTGTACTTTTACTTCCTGTGTATGGAGGTGTAAGAAATCTCTCTGCTTCTAAGCAGTTTTTTCAGCAAATATTACTACTGCTACTATCTATAAATAAAAAAATAGTTGTTTTTAGCCTGAATTAGCCTCTTATTTCCTTTTGGTGGATGGCTGTTCAAATTGAAAATGGGATGGGCATTGGATTAGGAATGAGGTGCAAGAGATGAAAATCCAAAAGGAGAATATCTCTTGGAGTCTCTTTTTTACTGGTGTAATTGCAATCCTCAATGGACATGTAGAAATATTTCAGTTTAAATTCACAGCCTTAAAAAACAAAGTTTCTTATAGAGCTTTGCAGTGCTGTCCAGCCTTTTCTAATACATTAATGTAAGCACTTAAAATATCTGTTCAGATCTCAACAAAAGATAACTCTTTAGTCAATTTAACTAGCGCATGCTTGTTGTTGAAATTTGCATTTCTTTATGCCCCATCTTGGATGCCTGTAAAAAAATGGGTGTATGATCAGGCATAACTGTAAGGCCTAATTTAAGTTAATGCCTTTAGTAAAGTAGGTTCAGAGTAAATTAGGGTGGTTGTTTATGCTCCTTTATTTTATTGGTGGTTAAATTCACAGTGCAGCAGTTACTGCGAGCCATCAAGCTCAGGTCAGCTGTGCCTGGTGAAGTGAAGCACGTCTCAGAAAAGGTACTTCTGGAGCTGTCAGCCACAGTATCTTTCGAAGATATTGTTCCTCTAATCCTCTCCAAGGCTCCATATAATTCCAGGAAATAAGCCACCAGAAATCAGACAAAGAGTTTATTTTGGCTTGAAAGGAGTGGAACATGGATCTTGGGCCAGCTGCCCTGGGTGGTTTCCAGGCTGGTGTGAATGTCGTGGGAATCCTGGGATTCGTGAGTGGGGAGGGCAGGTGATGGGCATGGTCCTAACCTGCTGTCTGGAACCTGGCTGCAGTGAGTAATTGGTTCATTAACCAGAAGCTTTCCTAGAGATCAGCAGCCCCTTTCCCCCATCCAAAAAAAAAAAAAAAAAGGAAAAAGAAAAAAAAAAAAGCACATTTTTGCCTAATGCAAGGACTATATAATGTGTTCCTGAATTAATTTAATTTGTGGATCTACTTCTGCCATCATAGAGACCTTTCACAGTGATTTAACTGTACTAGAAAAACTGATTTAAGTTTTTGCATTATTTGTCTAGAGCTGCTGTAGTAATCACTCCATTAATTTGGAAAGCACTATACAAGCACCTAAACACAACAGCTCCCTGTGCAAGAAGTGAAGATGTTCCAAATAGGAAGTTTTACTGTTTTTGGAGGGGAGGGCAAGTATTGCCTTCGGTTACCCCTATGAAGCAGTTTGTTTTGTTTAATTGATGCTTGGTTTTGCTACCTAGTATATGTATGTGACAGGTAGTAATTGCAACTATTACAGCTCTGGCTGTGGCAGAGATTTCTACATTGTATCTGCTGACAAAAACCGAGGTAGAGACCTGAGCCTGCTGTGGGGTAGGGCACGGTATCAAATTCTTGCTAGTACAGGACCTGACTTGATGGAGAATGTCTGCTACCAGAAAATAAAAAGCCAGTAGGGTGTGGGGTGGAATGCCTTTCCCCAAGAGCCATCCTTCTGTTTTTACTGTGGTGTAGAAGAATAGGAGAAAGTCATAAAACTGGCAGATGCTGAAAGAAAAATGGGGAACCTGAAAAATTAAAATCTTCTGTGCTGTGGGGAAAAAAGCTCTGTTTTCATATTCCAGATGTGTACTGCAAGTGTAGCGCTCCAATAACAAGGCATATGCTGACAGAGACATGCTTGAGAGCCCTCATGCAGAGGGAGCTCAGCAGTTTTAGTTTCTTTGCAAGTAAAACTAAACCAGGGTAAAATAAGTGTCTGTAATTCAGAAATGTTGATAGACCTTGGTAACGCTGTTGACTTGAAATCACATTTATATTTCATTAGAATAAAGCTCTCCTGATAAAGGTGACCTAGGAGGGGGAAATGAGCTTGTGCACTTCTCTGTAGCTTATAAAAATGCATTGAAATTATTCTTGCCTAACCTTAGAAATAAATAGATTAAATGCTGTCTTCTGTGGTTTGGTAAAAGGTCTTGGGGAAGCAAGTAGCTGGAGCAGAAGGGAACTTTTTTTTTAATTGTAGGCACTCGGCATTAAATTGTTTTGTTTATTTATACCTTGCTGGCTTCTGATAGCTTCTTCAAATGTGCTGAAACGTAACCTAAATGCAGCCCCCCCATCTGAAGGTTTACAAGGGTTGGCATTTATCTCAATTGCTTGTCATGGCTTGTGACATGTTTCTTATGTGTTAGAGATGGTAGCTAAAACAAGGATAAAAAGCAGCAAATAGCCTAAGGCTGGAGGCTTTAGCTGGTGGCAAAGCTTCGTGGGTACATGTGAACTGATCAAAACCTGTCAGGTGGATGCTTTGTACTGGTGTTAATCCCATCCACAAACAAGATGCCTTGCATTTCTGTGCACAAATCCAGCTGCACCCCATGGCATCACCCTGCAAATCCCTTTATAGAGAAAGGAATTTCTGTAACTTTATTTGTGCAAAGGAACAATTGTTAAAGACCGTGGCTCTTGTCTTTATGAATACGGGGGCTAATTAAGATAATAGCTGACAGGGTATGGATGAGGTAGGAAGATGGTGACTCAGCTCTCCCCAGGCACTGCAGGAGCAGTGGCAGGTCTGTGGGTGCTTCTCCCCCTCGCTGTGAAAGGCAGGGCAGCCACAAATGCCCTAGAATATGTGTGGTTTTTCTCCCCCTTGTGATTGATATTCAGGTTTCCTCTATATAATTAGATACATTTTAGTCATGCCATTCTTGAATTGGCAAGCTCTATTGATTTTTTAATATGTCATTTACATTTTATTTTAATAATGTATAATAATTTATAATAATATGACTTTTGCAAAGTATTAACTCTGTATTTGAGATTTTCTGGACTGCCTCCACGCTATTCTTACATATATGTATGCATAGTCACCCTTCCCCTTTTCTTTTCTATTGCTTCTGTCAGAACCTAACTGCCTATGTGATTTGCTTCGTATTTTTATTTTAGTGCAGACAATTCAATATGAAGCAGTCACTGGGGCTTGAGCTTTGCTGACATGAATGAAAAGCAAGCTGTGAACAGCTATTCCTTTTCCCAGCCACTGCACCACCTCTACAGCGTTGCTGTCAGAGCCCATTGCGTGACTCGGCTCAAACACACTCCAGGCAATGTCAGCCCGGTTAAACACATGAGAACAGTCAGGCTGGCTCAGGTTAAAAGTCCATCCAGCTACACTCCTACCATGAGTGATGGGTAGGGGATGCTTAAGTAGAGAAACACAGCAAACACAGTCCTTCTGGTGTAGATACTCAGCATCTCTCAGCCTGTGATAGAGGGATTCTGCTGTATCCACACTGCTGGGATAGGTAACCCTTGCTGGACCTTTTCTCCATTAATTTATCAAATTGCTTTTTAAGCCTGCTTATACTCCTGACCTTCATCATCTCTTACAGCAGCAAGTCTCACAA